AGTTTAGTAAACTTGCTGTTTGAGGACAGTATAAATGGATGTCTTTCATTATACGCCATCTACGTTGTTGATCCAAGTCTACAATTAGCATGAACTATTCCCTCTTGATCTATAAAGTGGGACAGTATTAGTTGAGAGACACCTTCATTCAGTGCCTTCCCCTGTTTATGCCTCGTGTTCCTCTGGAAAATGCTCCTTTTGAGACAACATAATGAGGTGTTTCCTGCCAGCTTATTGCGCTTTGAAGCACAATTTTTCGCTACTATACGTGTAGGATTGTTTCGAATGCTTTAATAAACCTCTCCATTTATCCAAACGAATGTACCGTTGTTACGAACCGGTTAATGTGTTTCAAATGCTGTTCTGAGTCGGCATTGTTAGCACCCTTGCTACCGTTTTCTACTTGAGATTCTGTTTCCGTAGATCTAGCTATATTAACTTGGGAAATCTGTGTCTCTTTTGAGGCTTTGGTACACATTCGTGGGATACTTTCATTCCTAGACGTACCTACGGAATACTAATCGTTGAGGTCCAGAATTGTTCCTCTTTTTGAAGTTAGTTGGAACCAAACCACCACAGATCTCCTTCCTTTAGTTCTAAAGGATTCGCCTCCGGTTTGCTAGATCTGCGGCTTTGTCTTGTGTTAAAATATGCTTCCACTCACCGACCATATATTGGATCTTTGACACCCTATTGGCAACAATTGTCGTGTCCGACCAGAGACACAAATTGTGCTATTCAACGCCTAGTTGAGGCAGAAACGTGCCAACCAATTCAGCTAACAATAAAGCTACACAATGATCTACTCGGGGCACTGAAATCTTCTTAATTGGTTAATTTGGACATTGAAACCAATATATTTGAGTAAACTACATTTCCTACCTTCACACTAGCGTATAAGACAGCTGCGTAAGCTAACTCCAAAGAATCGCAAAATCCATGGAATTTCGCTGTGGTTTTTGGGGAATATTTCACCTAGCGAGGTATTTGAATCTTGTCAATGTCGACAAAGTTTTCTGCAAATGATTTCCATTTCATCAGAGATAATGTTTTTAACTAGTCGTCCCATTGAAAGTCATTCAACCAAAGCTGCTACATAAATATCTTAACCTGCATTTATTTATTATTATTTTTATTACCGTGATAAGCCAACCCACAGGATCAAATAATCGGGCTATTATCGATAAAACCTCTCGTATTGTAAATAGACATTTATTAATTATTTTATCAAAAATAAAGTAAAATGTATCTGTTGCGGCATTCCACCTAATTCCTAGAGTCTTAGCAATACTCTTGTTATCAAAATCTAGTAATTCTCCATTGAGTAGGTGGGCAAATCTTCGAGCACCTCTTTGTATTTGGATGTCCATTTTCGTAGATGGAATCCCGCAGACTTTAAGAAGAAGATATATGACTCGTTTTAAGGTGGTGTAATTTGGACCAGATCTATTGAAAACTACCCTGAGTTTTGTTGTGCAACTTTCAGGCTTATAACGCCGTGATGAGGCAAATTTCAATTTCGGTAATGGTTTTCTGTTAATGTGTTTGAAGGAAGGAGTAGGAACGTTTCCCGTAATATCAGGGACAACTAAAGCATCGATATCAATGGAAAATAGTGGGTCTACCAATGACAAAATAATTCATACAGCTATTTTGGTAGATCCCGCTAGGCATTCGTCGCTGAGAGCACTAATAAGTTTTAACAAATTTTGTATCCTCTCTGAGACAAAAGAATCATCTGCGCAGGGATCGATCAATGCTTTAATTTGGCGCGACATAACATTTCTCACAATTGTCACTAAGCGGTGGACAACATTGTGTTGCTCGGCAGAACTATGGTATGTTCTAATATTCCGGAACAATGGTTAAATATATGGACTGTATTATTTAAGAAGATTAATAAACTTTTCCCGACCCTTTCGATTTGTTGGTTCCTTGCTGGGATATATATTTGGATGGTGTAAGAGCATGTGATGTTTCAAATTTTAATCTGAGCAACTATTTTGTTTGTCTCGTTCAACAATGGATATTCTATTCTTAAAATCCATTTTGGATGGTGTAAGAGCATGTGATGTTTCAAATTTTAATCTGAGCAACTATTTTGTTTGTCTCGTTCAACAATGGATATTCTATTCTTAAAATCCATTTTTAAAAATTTGGGATATGACGGCAAAATATGATTTTCTTTACATATTTTGTATTTAGTACTATACACCTTGGTGTGGTGGATATTACAATTCGTATAACGTTCAAAGTTTTGGAATTTCTACTGCTGAGACAGAAAAGATCGCGAGCTCTGGGGACCATATATATCAGAAACACTCACGAGTGCTTTAAATCTCTCTGTTAGGAATTTATTTAGCTCTTCCCAGGAAGGCATTTCTGTTTTCATAGCTATAGATTGTGTCCAAAGTGACAGGGTCAATTTTGGTAGATCGGATATCTATTTTGTATAATTTGAAAACGTAAATTGCGTTATTTCAAAGAACTTGCAGATATCTGGGAACATTGGGAAGATTAAATATAGCTTTTAATTGATTAATAAAACCCTCATATGTTAGGAGTATGTGCTGATTAATTTGCGAGCTTCTCCAATAGCTTTTTTGGAACAGATGGTATAATTTTTCGACGGGACTAAGCTTTTTATTATTTACATAGATTACAATAAATAAGTCCCAAAAAGTGGCCAACATATATTCTCCGTGAAATGTCGCAAGGCGGAACAGAAATTGAAGAACTAATATTTTGATTTGTCTTTGAACATGACACTTTTTTGCTGTCTTTAGCATCTCCTATCTCCCCATAGAGATGGCAGCTTAAAGCGCATTTACACTCTGTTTACTTGAAACAACAAGAAAATAATCCCAATCTCTGTGGACATTAACAAAAGGTTTTTTTATCCCATGGTGGAGGGTTTTAAGAGTTCGGCCCGGCCGAAGTTAACGCATTTTTCTTATTATTTTTGTAGCTTGTTCCTAAAAAAATACACTGATAATGTAATGTGAACGTCTGACAATATTTTTTGTAACATTTTAATTGAAAACCAGTAAATAAAGGGCAAAAGTTGGGTGTGCCGACCCTTCTCCAATATGTATATTTAATAGAGCTACCTCCAATAAATAAACATTTATATGAATAAGCGTTTTTGATTACGTGCTACAGCTTTAGAACAGTATAAATGTGTAATCGGATGGAAATAACATAGGGAAGCTTCATCTTATTCTTAATCGATCTCAACTAAATTTGATGGACGTGTTTGGCGTTTAATGTTACTTAACTACCAAATGTCATTGTTATAGAGTGCATGTTTTGACTTTGGAAAGACTTAAACTAATATCGGATGAAGTATATATATCGGAGTTAAGCTACGTCTGAATTGATTTTTCCTAAATTTGACGTATTAGTTACCAAAATTTTGCAGAGGTATTGCTATTTGCTTATCCCGTTAATTAGGTCGTGCGTGCACAAATAAATCCTATTTTTACCGATATTACAGATTTGGTGTACAATAAATGTGAAAGCGGATTTCAGTGGCGTTCGTCCTCGGCCAAACAACAGAAGTCAGCAGCTTACAATACCAGATTATATTAATTTCTTATTTATTTTTAATTAACTTAAAACATCAAAAAGTTGATTGTTTTTCATTTTGGAATTAAGTGAAAGATGGAAACACAATATCTTACAGTAATGATTGTACATATCAAAACCGATATCATATAATGAGCAACGCACTCAATGATGCTATAAATCATATATAGCCTAATTTATTGGTATTTGTAAAGCAACACCTCGTAATCTTAAGTCCTTCAGTGTTACGTATCTGGATCATGCATTTTAAAAGTTTTGAAAATGTTATTTATATCTAAACTATTCGATTTGATCATGGAATAGGCGGTGCTATAGTGGCATATTCGCTTGGTTTTAAATATACAACAAAAGATCAGTAAAGCATTTTTCCTCAAAAAATCATAATGAAGTAACTGCACTACCGCTCTTTATCTGAAGATCTGCAACACTTAATACAACTATGATCTATAAGACCACAAATTGTATGATGATTTACCAAACCATAGTTATTTTATTCCTTATTGATATATATAATTCAATAAACCAAATAAGTGCATTAAATCTCTTATTTTACAAAGTTTTACTTAGGGATTAAATCAGACAAAACAGGTTAAAAAGTAGTAAGTTCGGCCGGGCCGAACTATGAATACCCTCCACCATTGCAATAAACGGTGAATAATGTCGCTAAAATCATCAAAATGTCGAATATCGGGAGGTACCGTTATATGGGGCCTATACGAAGACGTGGATCTGCACAAACAATTTTCTGTCATAGGTTGTAGTATTCATTACGAACTTCAAATACCAAATTTGAAACAATTCCGGTGAATAACGTCGCTAAAATAATCAAAATACCGAATTTCGGGAGGTACCGTTATATGGGGGTTACATCAAAACGTGGAACTACATGACCCATTTACAAACTTAACCTGCCTACTGGCAAAATAAACATGTCTATCTTGATTTGTTCGAAAGATAGGGTGATTACAACAGACAGACAGACAGATGGACAACGCTAAATCGACATAGAATTTTACGCTGATCAAGAATATATATATATTTTGTTGGGTCTTGCATGAGTACTACGAGGAGTTACAAACGGATTGACAAAGTTAATATACCCTCCATATTATGGTGGAGGGTATTAAAAGACAATGTCGTGAAAAAAGCACAAAATATTTAACACCAAAACGTTAAAGTGCTGTTTCTTCCTCCTGAAACGTTTCTTAGAATACAATATTATCTCGAAAATATTACAAAACTTGTAGATTCATACAGAATCTGGAACAGAGCAATAGTATTTTCTCCTATTAAATAATGAGACATAAGTCAACTTTACTGTATAACCTAGACTTTGATTGAAACTAATTATTTCCTATGAAGAAAGATATACGTGATAACTTCTATAACAATGTAGTCTTTCATATACTTACCGCTTCTCTACTTGCATCAGTGTAGCTCAAATGAGCAATAAACATTTTGCCCTCAAAATTAATTTTTTGTACTTCGTTCCAACGAAAATGCTGCGAACGTTTACCGCAAATAAATGTGCTTATACCCGTATAGTTGATACCAATGTACAATTGGGATCCTCGATGGTCCTTTACTGGATGTGGATCGATACCATAAGTTTCTAAGCTGCTAACAATGCTTAAGAATTCGTTTACAACTTCACTGGGGTTTTGTCGGGGTTCACGTTTCTTATGAAGTTCAATGATTTTCCTCTCAAGGGATTCGGTTTGCCGCAAAGCTAAATTCATAGACGCTACATAGTTTTCGACATGAATTTCCTCGTTATAATCTCCGAGTTCTTCTGCAAGAAAAGTTATGTATCTCACTCGGTATATTCTCATATTTATGTTACCCTGAACTATAAGAGATCCAAGTGCTGCAGCTTCCCCAACAGAACAATATATACGTCCATGTCTCAAGTCTCGTTTTAATTGCTGATATAACATAGTACGTCCTTGATTTGTTAACCGAAACGGATCAGCGGGGTAAAACTTAACACGGAAGGAAAAAAGCATTGGATCTAGATCTGCAATAAAAAATGTAAATATTAGAGCTGAATTTTATAGTTCAAAATTCATAAAACTTTATAAAAATTTACTTGTGAACATAGTTGCCTTCTGAAAATCAAAACGGAAATTAGTTACCGAATCCAGTTTTAGTTACGGCTATATATCTATGAATATGTACATCAATTGTTGTTCGTTGGTAATGGAATCAGTTGAGAACGGCTGGACCGATTTGCATAATTTTTGGTACAAACGTTCGTCATACCCCAAATTAAGTGAAAAAAAAAATATATATATATAAAAAAAAAATATATATATATAAAAAAATATATATAATAATGAAGATATCGGTTTGAAAATTATTATACGAGATACTGTTGTCCTTCCATCCAGTCCTTGGTATTTATTTGGCCGCTGGGGAACTAACCACGTCTACTTTTTTATACCCTCCACCATACCATGGAGTGTATATTAACTTTTCATTCCGTTTGTAACACCTCGAAATACTCATGTCGGACCCAACAAAGTATATATTTTCTTGATTAGCGTAAAATTTCGAATTTTTAGTCTTATTATTATACCTAACCGAAACTTATATTTTCTAACTTCCTAAGAATATTGTAGTTGAAAGATTAACCTAAATATTTCGCCTTTATTGCGATTTCAGCGAACTCCCGCATACACAGACAGATATAGCTTAATCGACTGGTAAAAACTAAATACCTTATAACATGATCTTCTAAAAGTTACGAATTTTAAAATTTCCTTTGATTTGGAAAATATTGCTAAGACCTTTATAATACTGATAATTCAGGATAGAAAATATAATTAAAAACGATGATATAACGAATATAAAGAGGTACTGGGGAATACAAAATAAATCATAAATTGGACTTTTGTTGTAATTTTCTGACAAATGATTAATAACCTCAACAATGCTTTTGAACCCTTCAAATTACCTAATATTTAGAGCACATTTGGTCGACGAATATTGGGAAATAACATTATATGAGGTATATATTTAAATGAGAACAAATATATACCTTTTGTAACATCAATCATCCTAAGAATAATGTAAACGGCCGGCAACGCAGACTGAGCCAGCTAGTATATAAGTTAACGAAGAAAACATAATCAGTTCAAACCAAACAACACCAAGTCAAACCAACCAAACGTGCAAATGCTGAACCTACCGATTTAGCAACATAAAATTGCCCAATAACGTTCCCAGGAGAAATCTAATCCACACGCGCAGCAAGAACTCTAAATGAAATTTTATCCACACACGCAACAAGTGCATGAGTGAGTTGATGGTGGGAAATGCAGAATAAGCAGTTTGTTAGTTTAGACAGTTGTCTTTAGGAATAATAAATAAAGGTTGTGTTGTTAACCATGAGTTAACAAACATAAAAAAATATATTTTTAATTATTTTAAACTTTTAAAATCGTAATTGGCGCCCTCGGGAAAAGGGTTTTTCGGTAAACAATAAATAGATCGCGGATCGTGCCTTAGTAACCCCTTCGGAAAATAAGAGGTAATCCGGAGGTCACAAAATAAATCAGCGGCCGTGATGTAGTGTAAGGAACTTAGTAAAGAAATAGTTTTGTACAAAGTGAACAGTAAAAAAATTAAAAGTAAAAGCCTTAAGTTACCAGCAAGAAAGTTAAAAGTAAAAGCTTTAAGTGAACAAAAAAGAACATTATTAAAAACATAAAAATAAAGAAAACAGTGAAAAAACTAAAAGTAAGAAGTACTTATGTTATAAAAAGAGAATCGTTATAAAATAATATAAAAAATATAAATGAAACAGTTAAACAAAATTTTAAAGTAAAAGAAAACTTAAGTGATTAGAAAAGGAAATAATAAATATTCGAGAAAGCAAACAAATAACAGTGAACAATTAAAAAATAAAATAATAAAATAAAGAAAACAGATAACAATTTCAAAGAAAAAAAAATTTTAAAAAAATATAAAGGAAAGAGAAACGTGTTGTGAAAATTTATATTAACAAAATAGCTAAAGGAAAATAAATAAAGAAACACAAAAAAAAATTATAACTATTAGTGATAAAACATTACATAAAGAAAGTAAAGAAGAATAAAATCAACAACCAACAAAAAAATAAGAGGAAAGGAGAACTATATCGGAATCACCGAGAAGCAAAAATAAATAAACAATCAATAAGAAGAAAAGGAATCACTGAGGAATCTACAAATATCCAGCTATGTTCCAGATATTATCGTAAGATCATAGTAATAAGTTATTAATTAATTTGCTTATCCGAAACAAAATGAAAAAAAAAAGTTAAGCAAAGTCCATTAAGGAAAACATCGAAATAACACAGCATAAATTTATAAAATTGTTTGATGATACTCCTATAATTATAAAACATTTGATGCAATATTAGGAAACGATAGTTTAAAAGAATTTTCAGCTGTGATTCATACAGCCGAAGATTTTTTCACCGTTAAGGGAGGTAGAAAAGTCCCAATTTTATTTTAATTAGGACACACCATCTTTCGGAATATAATAAGAAGTAATTGGAAAACATCGTCAATCGACATAGGAGTTTATTTGCAGACCCTGACGAAATCCTTACTTTCACGACTAGGGTAGGCGAGATTAGAACAACAATTAAAACCCCCGTTTATTCAAAAAATTACCCCTATCTAATGGATCTAAGAAGTATTGTTGACGAAGAATTATCTAAGTTACTGAAAGATCAAATAATCCGACCATCGCGTTCTCTCTATAATTCACCAATTTGGATTCTCCCAAAAAAATAGAATTGTTGTGGACTTAAGAAAACTTAATACAGTAACTATCGCAGATAGGTATCCAATTCCCGAGATAAATGACGTTCTTTCCCATTTGGGAGGAAATAAATATTTAACAGTTATCGACATACAGAGTGGTTTTCCCCAAATACCCCTTAGGATGGAAGATGTAGAAAAAACTGAATTTTCTGTAATTAATGGAAAATACGCAATTTTAAGGTTACCGTTCGGACGTAAAAAGGCGCCATCGATATTCCAACGTGCTTTAGACGACATTTTAAGGGAACACATCGGTAGGAGATGCTTTGTTTTTATTGATGATATTATTATTTTTAGCAAAGACGAAGATTCACATTTTAAGGATCTAGAAGCCATTTTTGAAACACTTAATAGCGCAAATATGAAAGTACAAATCGATAAATGCGAGTTTTTCAAAAAAGATTTTTTGTCTCCCGTAATGGTATAAAAGCTAACCCAAAGAAAGTTCAGACTATAGTGGACTTCCCTTATCCTAATAATGCAAAGGAACTTCGATCTTTTTTTGATTATTCGTGGATCGCAAGCAACTTACGAAACTCTAGCGAGGAGATGGGGGATTGATATCTATATCTATTGATATCCCGGATTACAATTTTCAAATAATTTTTTCAGGATATCATAGACATTCAATATCGGAACCAGAATATGATACTGAAGGACTAATTCCAATTTTAAAGAGATACCTTAAGCCATCGATCATTAAAACTCCAGAGTTTATTACGGGAAAAATTCAAGAAATTTATCCACATCATTTTGTAGATTTTAAAATTCGTTTTACTCAAAATTTTGTCGAAGATATTTTGTCGGAATCTGATCAAGAAACCATTATCATAGAAACTCATAATCGTGCGCATAGAAATGCTGTAGAAAATAAGATGCAAATATTGGAAAAAACATATTTACCCAGTTTGTTCTCTAAAATTAAAAGAATATTAAAAAAGTGCTCCACATGCACGAGAAATAAATACGACAGGCATCCAAGTCAACCAAGACTGAATGCCACACCAATACCAAACTACCCAGGTTATTCATATTGATATTTTCTCAACAAATAGAGAATTAGTTTTGACGTCCATAGATAAGCTCTCGAAATACGCTCAAACCAAGATTCTCCAAGGAAAATCAATAGAGGATAAAAAGAAAGCTTTGAGAGATATTCTGTTTTTCTATGGAGTTCCCAAAAAGCTGTTATCATGGACAATGAAAAATCATTGAATTCTGCTACCACACTTTTTATGATGAAAGGTGAATTGGGAATAGATTTGTTTACAACACCACCAAACAAAAGTGAAGCCAATGGCCAAATCGAAAGATTTCACTCAACATTGGCCGAAATTTTGAGATGTCTCAAGGAGGAAGGTACTTGTAGGAATTTTGAGGAGATTTTGGAACGATTCGTAAACGAATATAACCACTTAATTCATTCTACAATCGGTAAGAAGCCAGTAGATACTTTTTTTTTCGGGAGGACTGTGGATTTTTCCCCATGAAGCTATGAAGGAACAAGGGAAAATAATATCAAGATGCTGCAAAGGAAACAGGAGAAGGATTTGAACTATAACAACAAAAATAAAGATGAAGTCAAACAATACATACCCGGACAGGAGATTTTGTCAAAATTAACAAAAGACTTGGAACAAAATTATCCGAAAGGAAAACAGACATTCAACCGTAGTGACCAAAAGTGGGAGGGTTGTTCATAAGAAACATATAAAAAACGAAACTTTATTACATTTACTTACAGATTATTTCTGCTGGTAAAAGAGACCTGAGTTGTTAAATGTGTTTGGTTTCCAACTAGAACTGTAGAATTCAGATGATGAATTATGAAGGTGCCATCTATATTTATTGTTGAATTGTCGATTTCTATTTGCCCTTTTTATTCATTCAGTAATATATGCTCTCTTCAATTTATTCAACTAGCGCCACATATTCATTGTTGGTTGTTGTGCAGCGGGATGGTTTACTCCTTAGCAGATTTGGAATACATTTAGATTTACTTGTGTCTAGGATATTATCAATTTCACAAATACTTATCTTATTATAATTGTTGCAGTCATTCTTAATACCAAATATCTTGTCGTTACATCTCAAAACATTTTTAAATATTGTCTTAAATATTTTTTATTTTTCCTTACAGGTTTAATTAGCAAATTGTCACAATTTTTATTATTAGTTGTAGGAATATTAACAATATAAATTA